CTTTGTCCAGTTCTTCCTTGGGAGCCATTTCTGGTACAACTGAAGAACTTGCACCTCCTCCTCTCCCCCAGCCAAGAGTTTCTCCCTCTTGCCTCCAGCAGTGCGTTTTTCATTTAACACACCAGTGCTTCACAAAAAAAAAAAAAAAAAAAATCAAATCATCCAGACCACTGAATGGGCAAAGATTTTTTTCCAGGAAGTGACCTTCAAGCTGTTAAACAAATTCACAAAATAAACTTAAGTTTCCTTGTGTCTTTCAGGTTTACAATTTCAAATTTCATAGTCAAGATTGTTACAAAATCATATTGTTCTTTGGTGTATTCCTCTCAGGGGCTACACTCATTAAGACCCACTAAGGTCCACCAAAGTACTACAGTTTGTACCTAAGAATGTGAATATTCCCATTGATTGTAACAGGATTCAAGCAAATTGCAGATGCTTTGGTGAACAGGGATGGAGACAGGTATATACCTAAAATGAACAGATACTTCACTTTTTCTTAAAACTCAGGCTGAATGTGGGAGCTTTTGGTGTCTGCATTGTTCCAGGGATACTCCACTGACAGATTTTTTCACTGTAGTTACTAGTTGCATTTATTCATAACTTTTCTTCAGCAAAGCTTGTTAGGCTTAGCTCTAGAGAAAGTTAATTTGCCTGACGGATCCAAAAAATGCTTCTGATATACAAAATCCTCTTTCTCTAAATCACTAATGCTAATGCAACTTACCACAACCCAGTGGTTTTTCATTTACTCTGGAAAATGTATTTTTGATCTGTGTAAGTTTGACTACGGTCAAACATCCGTACTAGGAAGACATCAGTACCTTTTCTAGCGATAACATTAGAAAGTCACATCTAGAGTGACTGATGAGATGATTCATTAGATGTGGGTACTTCACCTCAGAGTCCAATGCATCGGCACAAAAACAAGGAAGAAGCTGCTGTCATTGCTGGTGCTAGGCAGGTCTCACAGATAAATAAACTCCATTCTTCTGTGCTATTAGCCCAGTGCCTTTTTAAACACTACATTCATTTGAGGGTAAAACTGTCAAGTAGGATTTTTCCATTGCTCTTTGTAAGATATTTCAAATCTTGGTGTCCTCATCTACAAAATTCATATTTCACAGATGACAAGATTCATATTAAAATGGCATATAGTAGTGCTTGTCATAAACCAAACCCAGACTACATTTAGAGAAAAATATATACAGAGAATAAGGATTTAGGACTGAGTGGAGCTGAAAGCTTAGTGAGAGGTACTACTTCAAAATGAACTAGAAGTAATCGTGGTTTAATTTTTATTCAGGTAAGTTTTTAACATTTTCTAAGGTATTGAAAGCTGTGAATCTTATCAGTAAGCAAGAAAATAAAATTAGGAAGTGAAGCTGTTTTCTAATGAAAGCAATACAAAAACAACCAAGCAGAAGCCCAGGTAAGAAGTTGTTGAAAACACTGACTGAATGGAGCCTATATCAGTGTTACATTGGCTAATTTATGTTCAAAGAGGAAAGTAACTATAATTAGCAGATTTTAGCCCCACCTATGAACGAATATTATTTAATGTTCCTTTGATTTCTAGACCGTTACGACTTTTATGTAGATATATCAGAGTTATAATCCCTGTCTCACAGAAGATATCTTTGGATGCCAAACATTTGAAAAACCACATTTTCCAAGCTAGACAGCTTGGTAGGGGACCTAGAACAGCTTTTCTCCAGTTCTCAGAAATACTGGATTTTATTTGTGAGACGTCTCTGCAAGTGATGGGAACTCAGTACATCTTAAAGGCAATCCTATTTAATATCAAAACTTCTGCACTGCAAGTCTGAAGTAAATGAACCTAGGAACCAGCTTTAAAATCCCAAACACTCTCTGAAATTATCCAGTGAGCCATAAATAATCTCAAAGCACCAGGAAAAATCAAGAGGGAAAGAGAATGAAAGGAGGGAGGTGGAAGGCTTTTTTAGCTGAAATCAATGCTTGTGAAAAATACAAACCAACAAATATTCAAAGGCTCGTGAGCTAAGTGTACAAAAATTTACAGGCTATTTACTGTGCCAAAATCAGCAACATCAGGGAAATTACATAATAAAAGTACTCAACTAAAGAAGATACACAACATTTTAAAGACCATATCTGTCATCACTTTGACTTCTTTGCTTTATGATCAGTCTCTAAAGTTCCTCATTACTCACTCACGAAAAAAACCCTCCCTTCCTTTTTTGGTATTGTAGCTTTTTGGGGAAGAAATTACAATTCTTTGTAGCTATGAAGTCTTTTCCAGAGGATGACGTGTACTGCAGTATAAACAGACAACTGAAAAAAAGGAAAAGAAAAAAAGTCAGGTTTACTCCAGCCACATCTCACTACTGGCATCTCTACCATCTTAGACAGGGAGAGTTCTAGGACCTTTGTGAAACGGAAGGCATTTTTGCAGAAAAGCTTTTATTTACTTTGACATTCCTAAGAAGCAGTCTTTGTGCTCTGTACGACACAGAATTCAGGCAGAGTTTCTCTGCTCGTCTTACCCAAATTCAGTAACTCAGGCTCAGAGCAAGTTTTCTTTGTACACAGCACAAGATGACCTCTTAAGTTGTGTTATGCTGTGCCAATGAGACCTCTCTACCTACACTGTAAAACTAGAGATTCCTGTAAACACATTTCCCTGTCTATCCGTGGGGGTACTGCAGGGTTTTGTAGTCTGCACCCGAATGGTGTGGATATTTTTGAAAGCATGTCAAATGATGCGAGTACGGCTCATTATCACACAGCAGTATCACACAAGCCACGACACAGATTTTTATTCCCACTATGATTTTAAATGCCTCCTTACAAATAAGCTTCTCAGAGGATTAATAGCTGGGATTTTCTACTATGTAGAACAAATTCAAATGAGGCAGCCTCAGAAGTCCCAGAAAGGCTTGTGCTCCGACATTCATTTGTCAGACAGGACAAGAAGGAACTAATGGCATTGTCCAAGTACCAACATGGTTTACAGTAATGGTTTACACTGTTCCTTGCAGTCTAAATAGAGAGACCAATAAATCAGTGACCACAGGGATGCTCAAGTCCTCTGTCTCCTGGTGGGTGTTTGTGATGACGCTTGTTTGTCGTTCCCTGGGAAGAAGGATCCCCGGTTCTGCTGGCAGAAGATAAAACCAGCATGGACTGCTCAGTCCTGTGAGTTTCAGAGTGCTCTCCCAGAAAAACTGAAAAACATTTTTCATGTTAATGCATTCAGTGAAATCAGCTTTGAGAAGTGAAATACATCTTGTAAGACTAAATTTTGACAGCAGGGTGGTGCTCAGCTCACAGAGTCACTATCTCCTTTTGAGCTAGTATTCTTACATTCCCTTTGGGAAGACAAAGAAGTGTGTCTAAGTACCGTTTGGTTTGCTTCATTTGTGTGTATAGAGTAATCTGGTCACATTAATGTACCATGGGCAATGCTATCATGTATTAAAACAATTATTTCATACTTCAGTCAAATAACACATATATTTATACAGATATTTGCAAACACTAGAGAGAGTTAGGTGCTCAGCTAAGACTGAAGTTCTGTGTGCTCTGGACGTAGAACTAACACTGGGGCGGCTCTGTGGAGATTCCTGACTTGTATGTCTTCCAGAATTGAATTTGTCAGGCATTTGCCTTCTACTCTAAGAATTTTGTTTTCAAAGCTGTCTGGGTAAAGCTCACCAGCACAACAGGTGATTTGAGAAATGCTGTGAGATGAGCGTGTTAGTACTGCTAATTTACAGTGAAGAAAGCATGCGTGAAGGTCAAAGGCTCATTAACCTCAGCTCCTTGCCAGTTTTTCCCAGATGCCCTATTCTACATACTAGTCAGATCAGGCAAATTCTGATTTATGTGAAGGTATCTACTGTCATGGCAGTATACGGAAAGGCATTGACTTGTAGGCCTAATACACTGACCTCAAGTAAAGAAGGGCACCTGTGAAGCTGAGGAGGTATATTTATGCATAAATATCTGTGTTCCTATGTACATGCAATTGTCGGATTCAAAAGAAATAGCAGCACTGATTTTTCCTAACTACACTTTTGCTTTCACAAACAATTCACTCACTCAATCAATCAATCACTCAGTCAACTTATCTCTCTATCTATATCTGTCTATATAGGGGGAGAGAGAGATTGAGAGTTTTAAGCAAACTAGAAATACACTGTTTAGCAGCTGTGCCACTGCAGAACCATGTGTGCTCTACAGATGAAAAGCAAACAAGAAAAGAGCATTAGCTAAAGCAAGCATTCTCAGCCTTTTTGCACAGAGTCTTAATTTAGAAAATATGCTCAGGAAGAATAATCGTTCCTATTCATTATTTTGCCTGAATGACTTTTACAGAACTGTTTTTACCACCAATTGGCAAATTCAGTGGAAGAAACAAATTACCCTATTATTGAAGCATATTTGCAGCCAACAGCAGATATTCCACATATCCTGCCATTTTTCCTAGCAACTTCTAAGAACATTATACCTTCATCCCAATGTGCCTTTGTCTTACTTCTGTTCAATGACAAGATAGATCTCTAACAGAGGACGGCCCTGCTCACCCCGCAGGTACCCCAGTGGGTTATGTTGTGTTCCGTGTCAGGGCAGCCGCACTGACTCAAGCTTGTGACCTTTGGTGTTGTTCGTAGTTTTTGTACATCTCAATTTCAGCCTTTCTCTCTAGTTCTACTAGGGTTATTTTATATCAGCATTCCTGTTAGAAGCTGCCCCTGTTTTTGCAGGTGGTGGTAGCAGAATGTTTGAAAGTTTCCTCTGGGCTAGTATTTTGCTAACTGCTAGTATTTTGCTAACTAAGGCAACTTTTCCTACTAATGAGATTTTGATTTTTATTCCACTTCAGTATTTAATTAGTTTATAAGGAAAGATGGTTTGGGAATTGACCTAAGTATGCATTTCAAAGTCAAGCGCCTAGGATTAAATTCATCTTCCCTAATTTTTGGCATCTGTGTTAGCTGTTGCATCTAACCTACCCGGGTACGACACCTCCACGATTAGCGGAACAAACCGAATTGACTTTTGGACTTGCTCCATTTTCTTCTCCTGGTGACAGAGGTAGCCATGATTAAAAGAAAGCAGCAAATCTAAACAGTGGACTTTAAAACAGGGAGTTAAAGTCCAAACCCATAATGCGTTCATCTCACATGTCTTGCTTTCCTTGAAAAATTATATAGGTTTAATTAAATTTTTAATGGAGGTTTTGAAATGCAGGTTGCAGCACAATCTTTATTCCTGTCATTTAAAATGAAAAAGGTTTAATAGATCAATAACCAATAGATTAATGAGTCACTGATGATAATAGAAGTGATTTGCATCAACAGCACCTATTATCAAGAGCAATCACAAAGCACTTGGGAAGCAGATTTACGAACTAGTTCTGCTTAAGTGGTGTCAGAGGCTAACTTCCTTCAGAAGCCAGATAGAGACAGATAGGAAATAATCACCGTTAAAGCAAATACTGAACTACAGTCACCACAGTTGTATAGAAGACACAGTACCTTATCCACACTTAAGGGTGTGGAAATAACACTACTCCTCAGCTGTCAGAGTGTGGCTATTCACTGGCAGAAATCAGGTTGGGCGTATGACCTTTGCTGTGTGCCCTGAACACCACCAAATAAGAGTTTTTTTGGACACAGTATTTCGCTAAGTTGAAAGGCCCTCACATGGGTGATGTTATCGCCACTAGTCTACGAAAGCCGGCTTTCACATGCATCAGCCCTAGGTTATGCTGGGCCTCATCAGCTGAAAAGCAAACATGTATCGCTGGAAAACAATGTCACACTGCTGAATATCTTCTGAGGCAGGCTTCAGGCATGGGACATGATGCAAGCTGAAGCTTTCTGAATGATCCTGAGTCATATGTGGTGCACTAATATAAAGGTGACAAAAAGTGAACTGGGGACAAGGCCTGCTGACCCAACCACAATAAAGCTCCCATGGCAGACATTTATGCAATAATGCTTTTGGGCTCTGAAACACTTGACCTTCATGTCTGTAAGGCTCAGTTTCAGGAGGCAACTTTAATGGTTTCTTACCCTGATTTCTGTAGTACGTCATGGACACGAGTACTTTTGTCACTTACTCCTTGAAGGAAATGAAATCATGCACTGTCTTTGTCCTACAAATTTTGTCAAGTCACAGATTTTCTAGCAAGGTAATACAATCTTTTCCGCTTTAGGCTGTCGGGACTTGCAGGTCAGTCTTCAGGGATGCTTTAATATCTCAAGCAAATAGGCACATAACCTTTGCGTGATGGTCTAAAATACCAAGAATTCTTCACGTTAGCTACCAGAAGCAGCAAAGAAAATGAGACAAAACAACACAATACATTTGCGCTTTCTGTTTCCTTATCATCTTACTGTTTATGGATCACCTAAGCAGATCAGGAGCTTTCCTCTCTGCCTGTGAAACAGGAATTCTCCCTGGTCTGTTCTCCACTTTCTTTACGTTATTGCAGACCATTTTTTACTAACTATATCTGCAATTCAACTACACTTCTTTGCTACGACAACACAATGCTCTGTTATTCTCCATGCTCATATTTCTCTTATTGCTGTGAAATTTCAGGTGCTCCACAAGCTGCCTGGTTTTTCAGATCCAGTGTCGGTACCCGACCTCCTCATTCTGCCTTTTGGGAAATCCCTCCGGTTCCAACTCCCCTCAGACCCACATGCTGTGGTCTCAGCACTGCCATCTTTTCGTGTCCACAAGTTGCCATATGAACGGAAAGCATGAAGATTTACAGCTTTCCTTTGCACTAGCCTGGAAGTGGCATGGCACAGCCCCAGCAGTAGGTATCTGACTACAGGAACCCTGATAAACTCCGTAATGCAGCAATTTTGTGAGTGCAGGTGGTAATCCCAGGATCCATTTAAATATCCTTCACACACAAAAAGGCATTAGTCATCACTGCTCATTATAATTGTGAATGTATTCAGCACAGTCAAGATGCTAAGTTTCGTAACAACTTATGATCAGAAATGTAATTAGCTACCTTGACTGGAAAACATGAATAGGAACATCAGTATGGTACGGCTGCATAGGTCGTATGTCCCCTGACAGTCATTCAACTTAAATGGTAGCAATCTTGAAACTAAAATTTGTTTTCAAATGGCTGGCAGATGGGGAAAGAAACAGCTTGCTACATTTTCCTTTCCCATTTCCAACAGAAACATGAAATGGCTCTCGTTCATAGTTTCACAGGGAATAAGAAGTGCAAGTCCACTCCCATAAAGCAAAGAAATGAAAAAAGAGATGAACACAATATAGAAAACAAAAAAGAAAACGCTGTGAAATGTGTAAATATTCGTATGTCAGTTTGGTTTTGGGGGGAAAAAAAAAAAGTATTTGCAAAGAATATTCCTTCCAAGCCACAATTTTGCTAGAAACAGCTTGACTCTGGCAAGCTGTTGCCTGTAGTGAACACGAATTTGCATAGACCCGTGGATGGACCACAACCTAACAACCTGTGCTTACGAAAATTAACAGAAAATTTGCCACTGTCATTAACAGAGTTTGATTCATTGTTATAAGGTCATAAAGTTACATGCAAACATAAAATGCCAAGAACAGCTCCATAATTTTGTCTCTGTAATTCTGCAGATCTCCAGGAAAATAAGAGATGTATATATTGAATATAATCCCTTTGGGTTTTCACAAGAGTGATATTTACCTTCGGAATGTATCACTTAGCACCACCAAAGACTTAAATACAAAACAGCAATGACAAGATGCCCAGAACAAAATAGCTTAAGGCCTATAACACCGTATAAGAAATAGCTCTTTATTTCCCCTGTGGTTTTCAGTAATCTTTGACACTGCATTTACTTTCTGCGTAGCTCTCCAATGTGTGCTAGAATCCCAGCACTGCAAAATAAAAGTAAAACAGTTCCAAGGGGTTGTGTTAGGATACTAAGGATCCCAAAGACAATACATTAGCTATTAATAAGTTTCATGAATAATTTTATTGCATTTTTATTACTTTGTAGTAAAAATGTATGTACAAGATGCAACATTATTATTCTTTTCCCTTTCACTTTCAAATGATGTTTTTGATATGTCTAAAAAAAGAATCTTTTTTCACTTATAGGTCTAAAATTCACACTTCTAATTTGAGTCTGAAATGTAATTAAAATGCACACTTCTCTGTTGGAGCTGAATGGGCATGAAAATAAGAAATGTCTTTTTGCCCTCTTCTGTAACTGAATATTGCTTTAATTTTTAAGAGGTCCTTTTTTAAAAGTAAGAATATTTTAGTTAATAATTTAGTACTCACTTCAATTAAAACAGTTATAAAAACTTTCAATGAAATGAAAATTAGAAGTTTGAAAATAGCTTTATGATAATTTCCAGCTCCATACAATTTTCTGCTCTGAAAAGAAAGCATATGTAAAATCTTATCTTTGTATCATCACAGTATAATTCTTTAAGCCTACTAAGCAGTATTCTTATACTGATAATATATTTAAATATAACTGAATTGATGCTCTGCATACAATGGGTCAGCTTTTTCAGTGGGTGCAAACTGATGCAACTCTACCACTTGCAGGGAAGGCACTCTGCTCAGGATCTTCTCTATGCCACTCAGCAGAGAAGGAGTAGCTTGTCAACACAAGAAAATCTTTGTCTGATTTGTATGTTCCACCTTGATATAACTTGCCATGAGTTCAAAGTGCCTAGTGTCCAGCCACCTCAGGATTGTAAACCCAGCATCACCTGCCTTAGCTAGATCTGAGAACAGGACAGGCCCAGCTGCAGGTGGAAAGCAGGATTTTCCCATGCTTAGTGCCTAGTCATTTACAGGTTTTCAGGGGAAAAGCCAAGATGCTATGCGATGCTGTTAAGTGGGAAGAGCAGCACTCTACATTAGACAAGGGGCCAGGCAGTAAAAAAGACTGACCTAGAGAGCAGCACAGCAGTTCTGGTAGCTTTAAAATAGCTGTGCCCACCACCAGTCTGATACAGAGAGTGCTATGCTGAAGTTCTCCCTTACCTATGAAGAGAAGAATATTTCATACTTATTGCAGTGTTTAAATAGCTGCACGGACTACATCTAATGCTACTTAATGCTGCTAATAATAGTAGCTACAGTAACATACTAACCACTCTCTGTTCGCAGGTTCATTAAAAGGCTGTCTAGTACTATCTTTTAGCCCTTTTTACTGATACATTGTTTTACCTGTTACTTTTAACTTAAATCTTCAAGACTTTGCCAGAACTATTTGGACTTAAATTTTCCATGCTATTGTCCATCCCATGCTTCATTTCCTTTTCGTTGGAGACTCTTAGCTAGCACAAATTCAGTTATTTCTGAGAATGAGGCTAAGGAAAAATTTATTCTGCACTTTGAAAGGACTGGATGCCTCCACTGTGCTGCAGCTGGATTACAAAGAGGGAAGGAAAGGCCTGGGTTTGTACTATCAATATGAGAGGTCTCCAAAATGTGCCAAGTTATCAGATTCCATATACTTTTTAGAGACTTCAAGGCTAAAGTCTTTTAACAATTTTCCTGGTCTGAGATTCTCCAGCCCGGAGCTGTGAGATACTGAAGTAGGACTTTCTCTGCAAACATGGATCCAAGATGCTACTGCATTCCCTCAAATCAGTACAAACTTCAGGCCCCATAACTGCTCCCTAGGTCCCAGTGCATGCCTCAGCATTGTCCCGAGATACACCAGATGCACGATGGGCAAGCAGAGCCTATTTCCTGATTTTCACATCCATGGGATGTACAGGATCTTTGGCATACTCTGAGTTATAACCCTGATGTGTCTGACTGGGTCGTCAGTATGGCAGGGCAGAACATGGGGATCACCTGCAGCTCCGGTGCCTGACACAAGTCAGATAGCGTGTCAGAGGAGGGGAAAGTGAAGAGCTGCAAAATACAATTGCAAAGGGGAGAAGAGCTAGAACTACTGGGGTCCAGAGGGAAAAAAATGGAGAAGGAAGTTTGGAGTGAGGAACCGTAGCTGAGACCTGAACCTGCAGGATACAGGAACAGAGAGAAGAAAACCGGGCCTGGGATAGATACAGGGAGTTAAGTCTGAATAAAAAGGAGACTGTGGGACTAATAAACTGAGGAGTTTGTTACTTCATCGATTTTAAGGCTAGAAAGCTCCGTTGACTGATAGAGTTTGATCTTAAGGAACAGAAAATGAGAGCGGAATGGAGAATCAGAGAGGAAATTGGTCAAGGAATACTGGGGAAGATATCAGTCGGGGCCCTCAGTACACCAACGGGTCGTTGTGACTCAGACCAGCCTGTAAACAGCCTCCTCTGCCATCCCCCTCAGCAACCTCTTGAAGACCAACAGGGGCCTTGCTGACCAACCTCATGGTGTGCTCCGATGCGGATCTAACTTCTGAGAAAACAGCCAAGCTGTGAGGAGGAGCTGTGAGGAGCCTCATCTGCTGCCTCCACCTAAGCAGCCTCTGCCCCACCCCGGGAAGCGGTACTGAGTGAGGACCTGGTCACCATCCCCAGCCCGGCTCTGCTCACTGCCTCCAAGCATGTTGGGATGGGCCCGTGGGGGGAGGTCCCTGCCCTGGCTTGCCCCATGGCTCCCCACCCCAGCCTGCCCCACAGCCAGTCCTAGCTGCAACTTGGACCAGTCTGAGCTGAGAGAGAGGTTGGCTTGGCAGAGCAATGAAGAGATGGTAGGATGGAGTATCACAGTGAAGATAAGAGGAGAAAGGGAATCAGTAGGCTTGGTGAATAAAACTAGTTTGAGACAGGATACAGAAATTGCTGCTTAGAGATCTGGAGAAGGAGCTGGAAAAGTGATAGCCGATCAAGAAGCTCATGCCAATGGAGTGGGGCAAACAGTGAGACTGTGAATGAAAGCAAAGATCTGATAGCCCGAGTCAGTTACACAGTGTCTGAACTAGTTATCTACATTGAAATAAGAAAAGTCTTGTCACAGAAATGCACATTTCTCTCAACTGAGTTTAAAGGATGGATCGTCTTGAGTACAAAAATTCACATAGCTTATGCAGAAATTTAGATGACACTGCTCCCATCTCCAGAGTCGGGAGAGTAACATTGACAGACTGAATGCA